ACGAAGACATTAACCTTGGATGTGCATGAGGCTGCAGTGATCTCTCTTCTCACCACTTTGTCCCTGAAGTACTTTTCAGACTCTAGGAGGAGCAGAACACAGAACTGCATTTGCAGCTTTCTGCCTTGCTGAACTTCAGGCCTGTGGAGCTGGGGGCTGCTGGCTTAAAGATCCCTTCTCCCCACAGAAAGAACACACAACAAAAAAATTTCCCAATGAGTTTCATGATTCCATCATAAAGAGGAGGTGGTCTGGCACTGCAATTTATGAAACACATACTGCTTTGGAAGAGTTGAAAAGAGATGAGGATCTATCAAGTCTCCCTGTACTGTGAAGTGTTCCCTGTATCCTAATCCCATCACTACTGTGAATATTTAGCTTTAGGGGAATAAAAAAAATACTATATGGGATTTCTTTTTAGATGGAGCAAAAGCTGGGAAGGTTGTGGGTAGAGAACACCGTTAGTGGAAAGAAACAGCAACAGAATAGATGCCTTGAGCAGTTCTACATTTTTCACAATTAAAATTTGACACATTTTACTATCCTGCCAGTGGTTAACTTAAGCCTGCAGAATATTAAATTAAATTACCCATAAAATAATTATATCAGTATTAAAACAGAAGTAATTTTTTGCAACATAAAGATGAAAGCTCATACTGCACGCCATCTATAAAAATCAGTGGCCATACAATACTTAGCTCACTAAGCATCAATATTTACTGAAATGTTCAAAGAAAGACATTCAGTCAATCAAATCATTTTCCAATGGAGTTTCAGTAGTTTAATTTGTTAATAACATATTTTAAGCAGCTATTAAACTGTCATGTACTTCAGACTGCGCTACAGTTGCTTTCTAATCAGTGCTGATTACTAAAATATTTGTATCTGACAAATCTGCTTTCAACTTATAATCATCCTTTCTAATTCCTCCAGTAGTTTAGCAATTTGATTTCTGCAGCAGTGATGTTATGAAAAGAACAGTGAACAGCAGAGTCCTAAACAGCTGCTCTGAGAAATATCCCTGGGGCCAGCAGAACCACTCTCTCCCTTCACTGGTGTTTCTGTTTTCAAGGATAACAATAACTTCCCTTCTTCTGTGTGGCCCATTGAGTGTGATGAATGAAAAGGACTTTAACAAAGTTAGAGTTATTATTAAAAACCCATCTTCCTGACTCTGCACAGTGTTAGTCATAGAGAGTAACTGCAGGCAGATGCACTGATCCAAAAGTCACACTCTGGTAGAAGGAAAGGGCATAAAGAAGGTGGGAACTTGAGCCAGCTCCTTAAACCTTGGCCATCCTTCACAAGGTAAAAAGGGTAGGTCTTCAACTCACACCTAAGTCCAAGCATGGCATGAAAAAGAGTGTAAGTCTGCTTCTGGTATCATCTCAATTATGTAAAGCATTACAGGAAACCCAACCCTTTGCTTCAAACCAGGAACAAAAAAGAGAACTGTTCCTCAGAGAGGTGTCTGGGGTGTAGCATACCACAAAAGGCAGCATTTTGATTGTCTGCAACTTTTCTAGTATGAAGTATTCCGAACTGAAACAGAATCTACACATTCCTGTCCACTTGCAGTTTTGGGAGACATGGTTAAATAAATCACAGTTTTATTAACAGCAGCAGAGATGGAGTTTTTATAGGCTGATAGATAAACTAACGGTGGAATGAGTTCACAAAGCATGTTTCCAACGTTCTCCGCTCAGAGCTGTAGTAGGTAGGCTTGTGCCTAAGAGGAACTTAGACTGTATTTGGTGCTACACAGGTATGAAGATAGAATGGGACATTTTAATTATCATCATTAGAGCTTTGCTCTTGCTTAGGGGCAACCAAATTCCTACTCTTACTCTGGAACCTGACTTCGCAGCTTCTAATAAAAACACTTCCCACCATGGAAAAAAAAAAAAAAAGCCTCTCATCTTTATAAAGACCTGTAACATACTTTTCTTATGCTTGTAGAAGTACTGAAACTCTTAAGAACAGCAAGTCTAATTTGCAAGTCATACAGTTGTAGAATTGTTTAGACATAGATTCATTTTCTGTAAAATGTTGCTTCCAGATTGAGTAAATGAAGAGTTTCACCATCATGGCACATTAGTGCACCACAGAAAAACAGAGCATGAATTAAGCTTCACCATATCCTTACCAGCTATGTGGCTATGACTTTTATTGATTGGTTGCTGCAGCTTTGATTTGACAGTTTTAATGGATTTATTGGATCATTATTTATTTTACTTACCATTCAATGGTTTTAGAAAACCCTTGTGGGTTTTGGTTATTTTTTTGGGGGGGGATGGGGAGGGTGGGGTAAAGCATAGCATGTACCTTTGTATATGTTCACACCATTTTAAATTCTCATTTAGCCATCCTTTGCAATTGATCAGTTTCAGACAAACCCAGCAGTGTGATGCTTTCAAAGTATATCTTCTTGTACAAATGCTCTGATTTGGTCCATGCAACCATAGCAATAAATCCTTTCCTGTCAGGAGATGTGGCATTGCCCACACCATGATTACAGGTGTACTGCCTGCAGTACAAGAAATCAAAAGGGGCTGATGGAGGCGAGTGACAGTTTGGTCAAGAAAGGACTTGGAACCGGTTGTCCTAATGGAAATTCAAAGTGCACAAAGTGGCCCACTCTCCTGTTTAGCAATATAACAGGAATTACTTCAGTCTCTCTCTTGCTTCAGAAAATGCAATATAAATCAGAATGCAATCACAGAACAGCATGTTCCCCCCTGCTGCAAGACATAGATGGAAGTAAAGTGCTCAGGAAAGATGCAGTGCAGACAGCAACTGAGGGAGGGAGGGAGCACTGAGGCAAGAAGACCTTTTGTAGCCTTAGCTCTCACTGACCTCTTAGACAAAGAGTGTCTTGAGTGTCTTTAAGCCTCCCCTGAAACAAGGAAAGAAAGAGAAGAAGCACTGTAAGTAGGCATCAGAGTAGTCAAGTACTTTAAAATGTTGGGGCCCCATGCCATGCATGAAGAAAGGAGCTGAGCTGCACTTGTGCATCAGTCTAGCTTGTTGTATATGCAAGATACACTGGCTGTGGAGTGGAGAAGAAAGCACTAAGAGCAGAGAACAGGAAAAGGTGGTGCTGCCAGGGCTGAAGAAGCAGAAGAGCAGCTCAAGGCCTCACTCTGCCAGTGCAGATGTTCATGGGTCACTGTGGCATGTGCCACTCACTCCCCAGCTCAGGTAGCTCTTTTTTGAGAGATAGCTGCCTCACACATCAGAGTGCACTGCTGCAACATGGCCAGGGGGCTGTCCCTCCACAATTTTCCTTCTCCTTGTGCACCAGAGCCTACACAGCAAATGGAAACGTGCTGAAATACTCCATTCTCTAATGGTGTGAAGTTTTGCCAACCACCAGCAGCCAGATGCAAACTGTAGGGACTCGGAAACCTGCTGACAGTGGGGCTGCTGCAGTTTTGTTGTAGCGTTTGTACCTATATACGTGTATCTCACAGTAATTTTTGTGTGTATACTCACAGCATACAATCACAGAGTCATTACGGTTGGAAAAGACCACTAAGATCATCTAGTCCACCATCACTATGCCTGTTATCCATGTCCCATAGTGCCACATCTACACATGTCTTGAGAACCTCCAGATACATGCACATATTGTATTTATAGCTACTCAAATTCAAGGAAGTGATATTCTAGTTTTACTTTAAATTCCACTATTCATCACTTAGGTAGCAGCCTTATCACCAAGATTTTCATTTAGTTTAAGCTGAAAACAAGTTCTCAGGTCATTTTTAAAAATGCAATTTGAACAAGACATGAGTAAAAGTGAGGGAAGGCCAGAAAAACATATTTTCAAAAGTTTCTGGTAATTTTGGCCACATAAATCTCTCAGCGTGCCTTTTTGCATGCTGGTCCTATGCATCCTAGGCATGTTGTGCCTGCAGATGATGAGTGCCCTTCCTGTTCTGTACCTCCTCAGGAGTGGATAGGCCCAGACAACCCTGGCTCAGACTTTTTACGCCTGCAGAAAAGGGCAACAGTGTCCTACCTCCTTCTCCTATGGAGGTACGTGGGGATTTTTGGATCTACATAAAAGTAGATATAATGGATTCTGAAGCTTAAGCTAGTTTCATAAAGTCCCCTCTCTTTTATCTAGCATAAGCCCAACTTTTCCTTCTTTCTTCTTTGACAGGCAGGAATTTGTAACACCATGCATAGTCCTGCCAGGGAGTCTATTTACACTGGGGCCTTGCTTAATCCCTATGCAAACCATTGATCTGCAGTGACAGGTAGGTAACCTTCTTTTCCCAGACTGATACACGGGCTTGACTTGGTGTTTTCATTACGTGCAGTCCATGCCTTGACCAAGCACAGAATCTCTCTGCAGCACAGACCTCTTTACCTCTTTGTTTTGTGCACAAACATAGCCCAGTATGAAAACAGCATAGAAAGACCTGATGCAGCAAAAATACCTATCAAAATACTGCCCCTGTTATGTTCATAGCCATCCATTCATAATGGTACACACCTGATGTACCCTCAAACATGAGGCAAAATGTCAGAAAACTTTTTTTCCTTACCATTTCCCACATTTGCTTTCCAGTTTCTGTATTTCTTTACTTTAGAAACAGAGATTGCTTCTCCATGCCAATCCCAGGAGAGCAGAGCTAGTGCTAATGAATTAACCCCCACATTGTGATTTCCCATTGCTGGATCGATGACTCTGCACCTATGCGAAGCAAATTCATGACTCATTCCAGTACTCCTTCCAGAATATGATGAGCTCTAACTACTTTGCTTTCCTCATAGCTCTGGCAAAGAGCATATGTACATCATACCAAAGACACTTCCAAAGCCATTGATGCTTATATTATTTTCTTCAAAGGAGAGGGAAAATTAGAGGAAAACTGCCAGGAAACAGGGCTGTCAGTATTCCCCCTCTGCCTCTCCCACAGCCACCCAAGAGAGAACCCAATTTCCAAGATGAACTCGGAAAGCTGTGCCAGAAAGTACCCATCACTCACCTTCGAAATAGAAGCCTGACTGAATCTGAAGGACCCTCGGAAGGGCTCTGGGGTCCAGAGAATGAATGAATTTCTCCAGGGTAGATACCATGGCTAGCCACAAGGCAGCATGTAATTTTGGTGCTTGAAGGCCAGCGAGGCTTTAGAAACTGCAAGGCTTACAGCCTGGTGCGTGCTGTGCCTGGTGAGTGTTGGGGGTGTGGGGATGGGGAGGAGTGGTGCAGGGAGGTACTTCTACTTCTTTGACCTGCAGGCTGCTTCCTCCCACAGCTGCAAGTGGAGTGCTGTGATGTGGGGATGCCGAGCTGGGCTACCTGGCTCCACCAAGTGGTGTGGGCATCAGTGTGGGTACTGGACTTGGGAGCAGGCAGGGGCATCCACCACAAAGCTCCATCTCATTGATTGTGGCTACTGGTTTGATGCTTGGAAATATCAATTCTGTGAAGAAAAGAGAGAGAAAAAAAAAGGCATTTAACACCTGCCCTACCTAAAATGGGAAAAAGGTATCACATCGGGGTGTGTTGAAGTTGATTTTTTTTCCCCCTATAAGCGTGGCAAAATAACTCAATGTTTGGTATCTTCAAAACCACAAAGACCTTTTGAAGAGAAAAAATGAAACCATTTTGTTCTGATACTTTTTCTTCCTTAAGCACTGTAGCTGGATTTGAGTTATAAAAATGGAGTACCTGAGTTTACCATGTAAATGGACATTAAAACACAATGTTGCTATGCAAAATGACCAGGATGTTTATGGTTTTTGTCACCAGTGAGTCATGGGGATTCCAATTTGAGATACTGAAACCAGGAATGGATTTTAAGAGGCTGCTTTCCAATACAGTGTGAAAATCTGACTGCATTAAAGGAAAAATCCCAGCACTTGTTCTGATGCTGCTGTTCAGAACCTTAATGAGTGCTGCTATTGAAGCAACATTCCTTGGAAGAGCGAGACGTACAGCGAACAAGTGGTAGAATCAGATCACCAGGAAAGCTGAAGCGTGTGCTCTCATGTTCCCCTTGCACCACTCTCATGCTGCCCTGAGGTGTCAGAAAGCAGGAAGGATGTTAGACAAACTGGTGAGCGTGACAATAACCAACTGTTTATTTTCACTAACCTCCGAGACTGTATTTCATGTTAAAATTCAGAGGAAACAATATAAGCTTTATGTTGTGGTTTAGCTTGGCAAGCAACAGCACACGGCCTTTCGCTTACTCCCAGCCCTCCCAGTAGGATAGGGGAAAAGAATCAGAACAAAAAGGTAGAACTCATAGGTTGAGATAAAAACTATTTACCAAAACAGAAAATGGATAGATAAATAATAGTAATAATCATTATACACACACACACACCTATATATTTAAAAAACAAGTAATGCGCAACAAAACTGCTTACCATTTGCTTACCAGTGCCCAGACATTCCTAAGCAGTGGCTGCCCCCTCCTAGCTAATTCCCCTTAGTTTACAGTTTTTTTCGCATGATGTCATACAGTATGGAATGACCCCTTGGCCAGTCTGGGTCAGCTGTTCTAGTTCTGTCCCTACTCAGCTCCTTCTGCCCACAACCCCCTAGCTGGCAGGGAAGCACAGGAAACTGGAAAACTGGAACATCTTTGGCTTTGTACAGCACTGCTCAGCAAAAACTGAAACACTCATGCGTTATCAACATTGTTTTTCACCAAAAGCCAAAACACATACTAGATATTATGAAGAAAATCGACTCCGCCCTAGCTGAAACCAGAACAGCTTCTGCATATGTTTAAAACCCAAATGCTAAAAGAGGATGCTTTTGAGGTGCCATTTTAACTGTGGTACTTGGAGAATTCACTTAGTCTTAACAAATGTTGCTGCAGAACACGTGAAAGAAGGTTTATAAACAGAGAGACTGCAGGTGCAGAGCTTGCTATTGTCAGTCGTTAGTGCTGCAGGTGCTGCAGGCAAAACAAATAACAGGACTTTAGGTTTAATAGTAAAAGGCAAGGTAGACAATATGCAGATCCAATGACTCATGCACTATTGTAACACCCAGAACTCCTCCCCTCTTTCCTCCCAACAGCCGTGTGAAATTAAGCAAATAGCTCTGATCTGGGAGAGAGTTGGGGAAATCATACAGGTTCAGTGGTAATCAAAAGATCAACTGTAAAAAGCTGACAGTCCCAGGGTTCAACTAGGATTGCATGCATAATTTTTAAGCACATAAAGATGTCTACTGAAATAGCTGAAACTACACATATTTCAATGCAACATTTTCATATGTTGAAAAAATATGTGCATAACTCCAGTGAATCAAAGCCAATTTTCTGCATATACATGCTCCTGAGGTTGTCAGGGAGTGTGTCAGTGCCAAGAACTTGGCTTTACCTCTTCACATTGTTTTGGTTTATGGATAAAGAGCCCTTGGAACCATTTTTCTGTTCCTGAATTCATTTGTATTTGGCTTTTCAGTTTGTTAAGACTGCCAGAAACACAAAAGCCATTTAACATGGGCTGCAAAGGCATGTACAAATTAATAACTGTTATTGAAATCATTCAAAACCAACAAAGCAAGAATACTAACATGTATGGGTTTTGTGTAAGACAAGCACAAAACCTGCTGTAGGCTGATGAATCCAGCAGCACAACAGCAGTGAGGCTGTCACAGATCCATGTCCCCAGTACAGCAGCTTGTGTCCCCAGCAGATACATAGATCTAAACACAAATACACTGTTGGCCACAGAGTTCAATTCAGAAACGCAATCACACGAGCACCAACTGCCTCATTCTAATCTCCTATAGTGGGATCACCCCAACACTCCCTATGATGCTCTTGTGTGCTTTGTGCAGGATCTCTTTTCTCTGAGATGTCATTTGAGTCATTTGAGTTCTTAGCTGCTTTTGTGCCTCTCTGCTTCCTCCTGTGGGCAGATGAGCCCTCCATAGGCTGATGGCCCTGCTGTAGCACACCTGGGAATACCCAGCTATGGTACCTTATGCTTCTCTGTGTGTGTGGAGAGCAGCTCTTTCTCACACAACCTAACAAAATTCAGCAATACTACCCATTGCTCACGTGTTACCTGAGGAATCTTAACGTCTGTTAGCACCAAGAACAGTTCGCCCAAATACTTTGCAGGAGCTTTTTCCAGATTGATGGGTGACGGAAAGTGCTGAGAAAAACCATTCACCACCTCCATTATGTTCTTCATCCCAGAAAGGAAGACTGCCACATCATCATCATGGACTGCTGGTAAAAAAGGGGGAGGTGAGCTATTGAAGATTAAATCCTCAGGAGGATCTGGAATTGGAAGATTTTATTCTGCTTCAATACTGAAGATAAAGACAAGCTGGATAAAAATACATATAGCCTGTATTGAAAAGAGCCAAAATATGAGACCAATCTTCTCATACCAAAAGAACCAATAGGTCCCAAACCTATCCTTACCACAACTATTTCTCTGAGCTATTGTTTTCTGCATTAAGAACTCCATGTTGCCCGTGTACTCCAGCAGTCTATAGGCAGCATTTCGTTTGGCCACTCCATCCCCATAGTTCCCCAGTGGGATATTTTTTACTGGTGAATATATATCTGTTTTACTTCCTGATTTCCAGGAAGCCAATGCAATGTTTGAGGTTTGCAAATAAAATCAGTTCCAAATCTGTAAAAGTTTGTGGTTGTTTTCTAAGCTCAGACCTATCTCCTGATAAATGCAGCCATTAGTTGAGCTGCTTGAAATGGTTCAGTAAATATGAAACCAGGCATTATGTCTGCAGGAAGATATGCCCCACTTACAGAGTTTATAAATACAAGGGAAATGTATTTGATATTTGAGCTGGCAGAACTATAATTCCAAAGGGGAGGATGCTCTAGGGAAACTGGGAACAGCCAAGACCTGGAAGGCAGCTGTGAATAAAATTTGTATTGAGTGGTTTTGCTGCCTTTTGAATCAAACTCTAGGTATGGCAGCAGTTTAGTATGCTTATGTGTTTATTCCAGTGCAAGGTAGAAATTCCACCTGTCATTAAAAATAAAGTCAGACTAAACTGTAGGGAATTCTTCCTGACAAAAGCACACATTGAGCTGTGAAATAATCTCCCAAGGGAATAAATGGACACTTGAATGTCTAGGCCTCAACTAAATACAGGACTATACAAAGGTTAAGAACAGTGTTCTGATAAATAAGTCATCTGTTACTATAGGTAACATAGCAGCTGCATAATCATGCTTTGTTTATAAGAATCTACTGGCTCTACAGCTAAGTGGACTGAACAGCATTATACTGAAATTCATCCACAGGCCTGAATCCAGCAAGAGAAGAAGCCACAGAGATTTCAGTAGCTGGGATCTTCCTCTCCCAGGTTTTTGGTTTTATAGGACCATTAAGATTTTATAGAGCCCATCTGAGCTGCACCTGACTCACAGCTGACAGCCAGGTCCTTTCAATGGCCTTTGTGACATAAACTGGTGTTCTCAGCAGCTTCTTCATTACCTCTGTCATTATACACGCAAAAAAATCCATTCCCTACAGTGATACCCTGGGATATCCTGGGGAGACAGGGATCGAACAGGCTGAAGATCTAATTGCCAATAGGGCATTACAACATGATAGATGCATCTCTGTGTAAAAGTTATTCTACTGCTTCTGTATGCATAGATTGCCCAGTAAAGCCAAAATTATTGCCCCTGGAACACAGAAATCTTCTTTCCAGTTCTCTTAGCCTCACATTTATGTAAAATCCTCCCACACCTGTAACAATCACTTCTAATTTCACTTTAAAATTTAAAGCATTTATTGCACAGTGTATTTCAATGATAAAAAATACACATATATATATACTTCAACATTCCTACTTCCACATGCAGTCTCTGTTCATACTCCCCTTGGGATGAGTCAGTTTGGGTAGAGGACTTTTTAATTCTCCAGACAAAGTCATAGCAAGATCCTGCTGAAAATTGAAATAAGGTTCTGTGTTAAAAATCAAAGATGATTAAGCCCAGAAATGTATAGTATTTCACTATCAACTGAAACCTGTAGACAAAAATAAAATCCACCCTTGTAAAGACTTTACCTTGCTCTACTCCAAGTTGTTGGATTTGGTACAAAATGATTGAGTGAAAAATCCTAAAGCCTTTACAAAGCAAGCAGTCACCCCAATGGATTATGACAGTTCCTGCCTTTAAAATTCTGGAACATTT